TGATTTGAAAAATTCGTTGGCAAGCGACAATGTTAATTCAGCTTCAACCGAGCAATGTAGCAGCTGATGATTACATCATTTCAAACGAAAATATTTGCATAAATTCAACTAATGCGGGCCTGGACTTTGTAATATTGCTTCCTGATAACTGCAGCGACCAGCGCTGGTATCGGAGTCCTCGGAATCTACTTCAGATTCCTCCTCTTCAGCCTTTTCCGCTCTTGCTTCAGCTTCTGGTTCTTCCTTCACTACGTATTCACGGCCAACCGCTCTACTTTGCATAGTAGTGGATGATTTTCCTACATCCAAACGGTATGTTCCGATGGTAGGCTCTATCCGTATGGCCATCGAATGGGATGGAGACAGCATACTGAGATGCTCACGTAAAATGTCCACATAGCGCTGATAACGTTCTCTCTGCAATTAAGAGCTGAGTGAACCACGAATAGTGGCGAATGCAGAAAACTCCGAAGTAACAAATTTCTTTTGGTCCAGCACAAAAAATTTAACTTCTCCCGGATTTCTCGTAGAACCAAAGCAAAATGACTCCTTCAAACGGAAATAAAAGCAAATCGAGCGCAACTTACTTCCTGATATAAATATCGCTGCTTGTAGAAAAAATTTTGCACGATGTGACCTTTGGCCTTCAGCGACGGTGCTGTCTTCATCAGTTCATCCAGCCTCTGTCGCATCTCCTCCTCCTTTTCTTCGTGTGCTCTTAGCTGCTCCGCCTGCAGCAACTGTTCCAGTCTTTTGGTTGTTTGCGATGATATTTAATACGAATTACTCTATTAGTGCAGGGAGAAGTTATTTTCAGCATTTCTAAGGCACAGCGGCACCAACTGAGATTACATTAATGAAAAGAATACATACTAATGATAAATTGGACGGTGCACTGGGTAGCAGCGGCATATGAAAAACGTCCGACTGATTGGAAACGGGAGCTGGCAAAGCCGGAGAGGAGAAAACTGAGGACACGTAATTGATTATATCAATCCATTGCTGCACCTCATTTGGATCACTGAAAATGCCAATTCATTTGGACAGAACGCGAATCATAAACGATATAACACTTCTCTGACGCGCAGTGTCCCTTCTCTCATCAACATCAGCAATCATAAATGAGATGGCGGCTTCAACACACCGCATATAAAACATTCTGCAACAGCGAACATGATACCTCGTTTGGAAAAGGGTTTCACCAAGGTTGGCTGTTCGCAGCTTGAATACATGCTGCCGCTTCGTATAATCTTTTGGCTTCTCAGCCAATGCATGATGGAGGAGAATGGCGTTGTTGAACGTCTGAAAGCGGCCACGGCGAAAGCCATTTTCGTCTTTATGCAAATAAAGTACCATTCCGCGCAGTCGAGCATAAACCATCTTCCAGCCACGGCGGCCGAACGGTGCTATAATCAGATTTTAAAATTCATGTAGTCTTATCAGTCCGAGTCCACTTTCGAGACTCTGCCTGCCTTTCCTTTTTCAGCTGCAGATCTAGGTAGATTATATACGCTTTTTCTAGAAATCTGCAGAATATATCACTAATTCTAACAAATGCCCTGTCGCAAATTTTAAACAATTTAACGTACTTGTATGGCAAGGCAAGATGCAAACCTCAGTGGCTTCTAGCATTTTTTTGTCACACTCTACCCTATTAAGTTAGGCCAGTACACAGCACATCAGACTGAACAGCAAGTGTAATGCAGTAAGGATCACGCAGCTATGAAGGAGAGAAAACAAAGCGCTGAGCTTGTGAAATACAGAGTCGAGGAAAAACATGAAAAATAAGAAATGACTCACAGTACTCTCCATATCCTAAAGGCCGGCTTAGGGCAGCAAGTCAATGGCTAAAAAACTAACAGCTAGAAGGAATAAGAAACTGACTGGGCCTATTGTGTTCTTAAACTAAAGGCTAATGACGAGGAATTAGCTCATCAAGTGTTTCCGAGAAAAAAAATGTGAGCCCGTTGTAAATGTCGCAAGTTAGAGAACGCAGATGCTTGCACGACTGACATAGCAGAGGCTCAGGCATGACGACAACTGCGCGGGCTTTTTACTAACAGCAAGATGGATCTCGTTCAGCAGCTGTACTTGTG